ATGTTCATTGAAAAAATCCGTCTTTCTGAATCAGCTCAAACACTTGGCCCCCACCGAACAAGGTGTTGTATTCATTTCCCCCTCTGCTTTAGGATCTAACAGCTTTGTGCCACAATTGGTTGGGATTTTTAATTAAAACATCAAAAGCCTTAATTGTACAAGGAGCTTGGTCGTCTTTCCTTTCTGAAAGTGATAATTAGTTCTCCTCTCAAGCGTGCACATGAAGACTTAAATCATTCCACCCACAAGGAACCTCAGCTGCCTTCCAAACTGATGCATGTTTGGGCTTCACTTTTCCCACTTGGACTTCGCAGTGTTTGAAGGTCAGAGACAAATGCAAAAGGTGCATTTAGGGTATTTTGCATATACCTGTAAGGTGTCAGTGTGGCATACGCTTGAAGAGAAGGCTATTAATATTCTCAGGCATATGATTTTGGGTTATTGCATTGCAGTAAAGAAGACATGGATTTCAAATCAAAGGCAAAATAAGGGAAAGGCTATGAGATAATGCATGAAACCATAACATAACAATCGATAGAGTAACTGTAATTGACAGACATTTTCCCTATTGTCTTCTATTCCATAATGTAAATATATTATATATGTAAATATAAGATATAAGGAATAGGTTTCCAAGATTCTCCTGTCAGCTGGCAATACATGGTTGACTTAAGGGACATGAGACCACATTCCATCATCTTTCCCGTCCAGTACAATCTAGAGATCTCAATCCTGTTGAAAATATAGAAGTTCTGGAACACACAGTGCAATTCCACACATCTCTATCCAAATCACTGACTTAATACAGGGTTTCCTTACAAGAAGAATGGGATTCAGCAAGTCCAATGGAAATATGCCACACCTATGTCCCTATGTTCGCATGAGTTTTTGCTCGGTTTTCTGTGTGTCTGTGTGTGCCCTACGATGGATTGGTGTCCCATTCTGGGTGTACACTGCCTTTTGCCTGTTTCTTGTTAGGATAGGCTGTGGCTCCACAGTACTGGATGAAGCTGTTAGAAAATGGGTGCATGTCATACTGTACCTTGTTCAAGGTGTTCTTCTTGCTTGTAGATTTCCAACATTTTAGTCAGAGTGAGAGGCTCTGTTTCAGAAACCTGTACCTGTGGCTGGAAGGTTGCTGGTTCAAATCCTGTGGCTGGCACAGGAATCCTCCTCCGTTGGACCCTTGAGAAAGGCCCTTAACCCCAACTGCTCCAGGGGCGCTGTACAATGGCTGACCCCATGCTCTGACCCCAAACGCCTCCCTGTCTGTGTGTTTATGTCTCATGGAGAGCAAGCTGGGGTATGCAAAAAGATGAATTCCTAATACAAGAAATTGTATATGGCTAATAAAAAAAAAGTGATCTTAAAGTACAGCCCTGAATAAACCAAATCAAATGCTTGCATGGAATGTGATTTCCCAGGTCCTTTAGTAGGTGAATGTGACCCTGTGCCTGGATCACTGTCTAATCTCTGTTAAGTGCTTTGACTTCCTCCGGGAGATGAAAGGTGCTTCATAAAACATTTCTATTATAACAAATGGGTTAATGCCAGAAAAGATCAAGTAAGTGTGTGGGGGGCAATTTTATGCCCTTGATTTCCAGTGTGCGACTGATGTGGGCGTTGTAATAATCATCTCAAGTTCTTACTCAGCTAGCCCTAAAGTCCCATGTGCGATCAGTTCCTGTTGTTTTTCTGGAAGAGCCTATTTCATTTTTCATGCTCCGGTGCATCATACGTCAACCTCCCAAACACCACAGAGGGATGAAGACGTGGAGGCAAACAAATAAAGGTAGAAACGTATAAAAAAATAAACAATCTGATTCTCCCACGATAAGGCAGCTTGGTGCACAAACATCAATTTTAGCATCTGGGCACAGACAGGTCCATTACAAAAGAAAAGGGATGTTGCTTCCTGAGTGTAAATCTGTGATTGCTCTATTTTTCTGTTCATTACATCAGTGTGGACGGTTTCCTCTGAAAGGTTTTGATAATATCTATGAAAAAAACTCCATATGCTATGACAACAGGCTCCTCACACATTTAAAATAAAATAAAATCTTCTTTTGAATATGACCAGAGTCCTACACAAAGATTCAGGGAGAGCAGGAGCAGACACACATGACATGAGCTCGTTAAAGCATTTACCCAGAAATCAGTGGGACAAATCTTAATATGCGCCCCTACAGCGTCATTCACTTTTGACAAATGTTTTGGGGGTCCTCCTGGGGATGTGAGCCAGCACCCCCACCAGGGGGCCCAGTGAGAGAGTGTGAGCAAGCTTCCGCGTCTCCTGGGGATAGAAAGCGCTGGGCTCTCCAGCGCATTGTAATCAGACTGGCCTGCCTTAGGCAAAGCTCTGCAAAGCAACACTTTCAATAATGAACATGCCTGGCGGACAGAATAAGAATCACGCAATTACTGTATTTTATTTTAATTTTTTTTGTCTCAAGGCACATTGTGCCTCACAGAGGATGTTTAGGGAGCACACTGTGTGAACTCATGGAAGATGAAAATAATTAACTTGTTAGCTCCTGGTGTCCCTAATACAGGGCGGGGCCGAGGGGCGTGTCTCTGCAGTTCTGTCCATTGAATGAAAGACCACACCTGCAAAACACTACCAGTTGGTGAAAGCTTTTGTCTTCCTTTTAATCTTCCTGCTTTAGATCTGCCTGCACATTTTTCTCAGTGCTCCATGCTGACTGCTGCTCTCACTGTTCAAAATAATAGGAATCCATCGTGAATAATGTGTTGGGCCTCTGTGTAGAGTACAGCGAACACAGCCTAAACAAGACATGGTTTGTATTCCATTAGATCGATTTTGAAAGATTGTCTGCTAAACCTCACTCCTTTTTTTCTCTGGCAGCCTCACTGCCAGGTGAGGTTGTGATGATGGTGATTTTGTGTGATACTAAGCTGAACCGGCTTCCACAGGCTCAGACAGTTTTCGGAAGCACTCAGATTTGGGAATTGCTCTGGCCAGTGTCAGCTGACCAACGTCCTTCTTTCTGCCAACAATATTTCATCTGGCACTGTGAGGGTCACTTTAAATGTAGATGGGGGTGTCTGGTGGGTGTAACTCTTTATAGCTAAATCAGTATTTATTCTAAGCATTGATTTTACCAGTAATTTCATCTGTCATTCCTGCGTGAAACAAATTTAGGGCATCACTGGTTGACACACAGATTATCTAAGACTAATTTACTAAAATTTAGAATTTGCTGATTCTAAATGCTTCTTCATATCCTTATAGCCCCTGGCTTAGATGGTCCTGGGGTCTAAAGCTATCCTTGAATCCAAAAGAAATGAGCAGTAATAACAACTGATTGAGACCAATATCTTTCAATGTTCCAAATGTGATAATGCTATTCCAAAATGTATTAGCCTACGTGTTGTATTGAGTGCCTGTGATTCCTTGCAAATTTTTCTAAAAGATTCATTTTTGCTGTCCCTTTGCTTCATCCTTTACTTAGTTATAAGCTGTGTCAGTTATGGAGTTAAAGCATTAGGTATCTCTTTTAATTATCAGTTTTAGTCCTAATTCATTTTACTCCAGGCTGGAATCAGATTGAAAACACAGCTGCAGAATTCCAGCAGGAGTAGACTAATTTAAGAACTAAGCAAGTAATGTTTTAAAGGATTTTGTTACAATAACAATAATTTAGCCATGAACAGAGACTTACCACCATTCCTTACAAAAAACAAATTCAGAAAGGATCTGAATCTGACAGTTTGCTTTTTAAGAGCTGTTTGCTTTCCAGAAACACAGAAGAAAGCTCACCAGTTCTCCGAGCATTGACAAATAGTATATGATTTCACAACCTTTTCTCTCCAAGTGAATGTAAACCACGTTCTTTCAATCCAAAATGAAAATTAAAGTATAAAATGAAAAAAATCAGCGATTGCATTAATGCTGCAAAAGTGGAAATGACTCTAAAGAAGCTTAATTTAATTCTTCTGTTTCAACAGTTTTTAATTGGATTTTTTTTCACCATTTGGCAGAATGCAGAACGACTCATCTCAACACAAACGCAACATGTTGAGCCCTGATTCATAAAAGCTGTTCACTTTAGATTTGGGAAGGGCCAAGTAAGACACTTAAGACTTTTACAAAAAGGGAATATCTGGAATCAGTTGGATCACCTCAGTACAAACAGGCTCACACTTTAACTGCATACAGTAGTTGTTAGTCTGTCTCGACAGTCCCAGAGCTCAATAACTGACACATTCTCGTGGTGCTGGTTCCAGACTCCCACAACCCTTCGTGAAAGGGGTTCTTCCTGTTCTTGGCTTTAATTGGTTTCCACATAGTTTCCACTTTTACCCTCTGGTTCGTGTTTCACTACTCAATCGGTAGAATCTCTGCTGTGTTGACTTTGTCAATGCCTTGGATTCAAGGATTCTGAATAGTATTAGCAGGTTTCCTCACAGTCTTCTCTGTGCAAGACTAAAAATGATTTAGCTCCTCCATCCTGTCATAAACATTGAGGCTAATATCATAGGATCATGGAACCCAACCTGCACTCAGGAACATGCCTTTGTCATTTGAGCTGTTCTGGAGCCTCGTCCTCTCATTTCCCCTGTGTTTGTGCTGTCATCATGGGAGCAAAAGTATTTGACCACCAACCAGAGATTCTACAATGCAAATGGATAAAACTAACTTACTGGGGTCTCAAAATGTAATGCAAGAGAAAAAATATCATGGTGTGTTTATCTGGATTGTCACATTTTAAAGAGTACAACCAGACAGCTTTGTATTTTTGATCACACAATTTCAAGTAATAGAAGTCGGACAATGGATTTACTGCGAGCGCAACAAACTGTTAATGTTAAAATGAGCTCAGAGCAATGCAGGAGACTGCAAGCACTGTCTCAGATAATTCCCCCTGGATTCTTTCATCCCAGATTGAGAAGCACGAGTCTAGAACACAAAAAAAAATTCAGTAATAGTGTCATCAACACTGTAAGACTGACGTATCTTTATGTTCTCCCTTTTGCAGTTGGCTCTGGGACAACCACACGCCTCCCAGAGTCAGAAAGGCGCAGAGGGTGAACGCACCAAGTCGGTGGGGATCCTCAGTGGCCAGGGCTTGTCTCCTCTGGGCCGGTGGATGCTGCACACCAAGAGCCGAGCAGCTAACACCACCTCCTTGGAGCTGCCTTACCGCTCACCACTGCCCTTCTCTAAGCAGGAGTTCTGGGAGATGCTGGGCAGTGACCTCCGGCCTGACCCGGTGTCCCGAGTGAAGCGGCGGCCCATCGTGAAGACGGGCAAGTTCAAGAAGATGTTCGGCTGGGGGGACTTCTACTCCAACATCAAGACAGTGCGTCTCAACCTGCTGATCACCGGCAAGATCGTGGACCATGGCAACGGCACCTTCAGCGTCTACTTCCGCCACAACTCCACCGGCCAGGGCAATATCTCGGTGAGCCTGGTGCCCCCCGTCAAGGCAGTGGAGTTCGACCTGGAGCGTCAGAGCGTGGTACACCCCAAGGACTCCAAGATCTTCAACTGCCGGGTGGACTACGAGAAGGTGGACCGCAACAAGAAGACCTCGCTCTGCAACTACGACCCTTCCAAGACCTGCTTCCAGGAGCAGACACAGAGCCATGTCTCCTGGATCTGCTCCAAGCCGTTCAAAGTCATCTGCATCTATATCTCCTTCTACAGCACAGACTATCGCCTAGTGCAGAAGGTGTGTCCTGACTACAACTACCACAATGAGATGCCATACCTCCCATCAGGATAGGGGAAAGGGCACTACGGAGGTCATGCAGGGGGCAGGGACATTAAAGAACTTGGTTTTGAGATTTACGTTACTTGTTGACCAGTGGCTAAGTAGAAGGATGTACCAGGAGGTGTCTTCAGCATTGGTCAAGGATAAAACTCTTTAAAAGTCTTTTATTATGTGCAGAGCTGCCCTGCACTTTCTGTCCATCCAAGTTATGCCCAGTCCTACCAGTCTCTCTCCTTTACTGATGCTTTTAATGTAACTACACAAAAACAGACTTCAAATTCATGTATTCAGAGATAGAGGGGCCAGGCTGTTCTCCTAAGAAGAAATCAAATTTACAGCATGTTAAAAGATTTTCTGTAGTCATATAAAAACTATAAATTCCAATGAATTCCAAACAAAGGATGCCCAGTTTTAAAGAGAGCTATTTTGAAAGTTGAAAGTGTTGTTTGAGATTCCTTTCTATTTCAATCAATATTAGCTGGCTAAGGCAAAACGTACAAGATAAGAAGGGTGGTTGAAATGACCCTGAGCAGCTTATAAAAGGGAATTCAAATCCTTAATATGTTTTACCACCAGGGATCTCTCAACTCATCCAGTTTAATCCATCCCCTTCATTAGTCTTTTGGATTTCCAAAATTAAGAATTCACTTATTTAGCAAGGACTGGAATTTCACACCTATGCACCAAAACTGGGAACAGCATTAATAATTACTCAGATGTGGTTTGCTAGGAGGCGTCAAAAATGATTGATATGTGGTATCATATGCACTGATTTTCTTATGTACTATTTGTCATGTTTTTACAGTTTGCAATCAAGTGAAAATATTTTTTAAGGTTGATTTGGACCAACAAGTCTAGAAAATGCAGTTAAATGCAGCTCTGAGCAGCTGAAGCCTCTGTTCCTTTAAAGTGTAGAGTAGTCTAAACGAAGTCTTCCAGTCTTCTTTAATTTTAAACAATAATTACACAGAGAATTGGAATCCCTCTAACTTCTACTTTTGGTCAGCTCGGGAAAAAAAACTAAACAAACTCGAGCTTTCCCTACAGCCTCAGTGCAGTGTGATTTAAAATTGACTCTATGGGATGCTGCTCAAAGTAAAAAAAATAGAGAAGGGTAAATACCTGGAACCAGTACCCGACATCCTTACAGATGTGGGATCACGAAGTGAATGATCAAACAGGGGCTTCAGCTGCAAGAAGGTGTGACAAAGCTCTGAAGCTACAGTGTGTCGTGGCGGGGTCTCTGGGCACAGTAGCACTTTGTAGGTACAGTATGGTCAATATCTATTCATTTCCGTTGCTACTCTATGTGCATCTAAAGCTGTAATTGATCTTCATTAAGCTGCCTCCAACAGCAAGAGGATTTTTTTTTTTGCATTTGAAAGATCTGTTTTGTTGTTAGCGTGGCATATGGTTCTTAAAATGTAAAGAAGTACGTGTTGATTCCCACATGTTAAATGGATAAAACTGAACAAATAAAAACAAATGTAGACATCAGAGGAGTCTGGTAAAACATAAGCAGATTGCACAAATGGTAACACCATTCCAAACATTATTTTGTTAACCTCCCCCCAAAATTCTTACTCCAGATTTAATTTTCCTCCATCCATCCCTTTTCTAACCACTTTATCCAATACAGGGTCATGGGGGAGCCAGATTCTATCTGTGCGAGCAGCAGGTGCAAGGCAGGGTACGCTCTGGACAGGACGCCAGTCCAGGGCAGACACACACACACTCACGCCAGGGCTTATTTTCCCAGAAGCCATTTAACCTACCAGCATGTCTTTGACTGTGGGAGGAAACCAGAGCTCCCAGAAGAAACCCACATGAAGAAAGAAAGGAAATATACACTCCACACAGAAAGTACCCAAGGCAGCAATGGTAACCACTGCACCACAGTACCTCCCGTTAAATTATATGCGTGTTCAAAATACACATGAACTGCAGGGAGAAACGGTGACGGAGCTGATGGAGACTACCTGTAATCCCAGGGCAAGTGTTTTCATCTTGCAAATGTTTGGATTAACTGGACTGCCTATAAAAATTATAGTATTAAACTCCAATGCATCCCTTTAACCATCAAATTCACTGTTGTCAAACTGATGGCCATATTCACAAAATCCTTTCCACTGTGCTACTCATTTACTGTATCTTCTGATGCATAAAGAAAATGATGATGTGAAGATAAATTGAGTAACTATTAAATCAAATCTAGTTAGATCCAATCTTGTGTCTTTAGGAGTACACAACTGTTTTGAAGTGTTCTCCTGTGTAATCTTTTCTTAAGAGCAAGTTAAAGGTGTCTTTACTGGTTTCAGCTCTAACAATTTTAATGCTTGCCTACAGAAGAGCATGCTCTCCTCAGGTCCTTGTTCCTGGGAGGAGATCTGAAATGCTCGAGTGTTATAAAGCAGTGGAGTGGCTGATATTGCTAGTTTCATTGCAGAGAGAAAGCAGCAAGGTAGGGAGATTTGTATTGAAAACCCTTCAGGTAAAACAAGGTTATTCCATTTAATTCACTTGAATCTGATAACTGCCACTTGTTAGACTGAGTGAGTGGTAAATAAATTAGAAGAAATATAATTAAGAGTTAAGTATTAGTAGCAATCAATATTTATTAAGGTCAGTATACTAGTGATTAACCTTGTTGTAGGTACAGGGTGACAATGGTTTTTTCTGTAGTTGGCTGTCGCCTCCGGAATTTACAGTCAAGGTGTGTTGTAACCAAGTGTAATGACAACTGTAAAAGGACAAGAAGGGAACATATTTTGTCCCCATTATTTTGAGTCAGCTTTGTGTAGTGGAAAAATATTTAAACTGAACAGCTAATGTCTCAGTCTACAGTAGTTGTAAAATAAAACTATCATCCTCACTGGTTCTACACCAACAGCATTCGGAACGTCTTTCAATAAAATAAGAGATGAGGCAGTTTAATTAAGCAAGGCTGGCTTTGTTCCCTCAACTGTTTGATCAAGTGATAATAAGCCCCGTTTCAATTAAACACTTTTTTAATCAATATGAAATGAAAATCGCAGTGCCTGGCTTTGTGCAAAAGCAGGCTTTTCAGCAAACAACAGGTGCATTGTCTGCTGTCAATGTACATAAATCCAACCCTGTGGTGTTCAGTGAGCAGTGCCAAGTCCCCTCCTCTCTTAAAGTTCAGTATTAATTGCAGATACTCAGAGCTCCACTACCACTAGGATGGCAGCCTGTGCTCAATTTAGAGCTTTTGCCTTCCTTTAAACCTATGATGAGCGATGCTCATTAAAAACCTGCACAATTATTGACCAAGCAAAGAAGTGTGAATGTAAGTTCACTGAGATGCACGTACAAGCAGACCATTAAAAATCAGAATGATGGCAGAGACTAATATTCTTTGTGCAGATCAGACGTGGTGTTCTCAAACCAGGCTCTTCACGATTAATTTAATCTTTTTTCAACATGTATGTACTGTAAAATAACAGCACAACATTTATGTAACAAGACAATCAAGCCAAAAGGAAAGGCTCAGAAAAACACATACTGTGGTGGTGGGGGCTACACAAGCACATCTGAAAGATGGAAGAAAGCTCCATCGATCATGTTGATGCAGTTTTTGCATTAATAAAACATGCTTCTTCCATGACACAAAGGAAATAGTCTTCACCCTACTTTGTTTTTTTGTCACTGTGCACAGAAGAAATTGCTCCTGAAGAGCACCAGGATCATTCAAGGTCTTATTGGCACAGTCATATCAATCACATCCGAAAGCACGTTATTTGCAGGACACTTTCAAAACCCTTGCAGTAAAGTGCTGGGTACACCAGAGTGCATCTGTGGCAGATAAAGAAAAGACTGGGAGCATCCTTCATCTGGGACCACCGTCATGTTTGCAGAACATAATAGAAATAACACTTATTGGTCAATAATTACTTGGTGATTTGTTTAAAATAAGTCAGAGATCACAGTGTTTAGGACTAAAATCTAAGTGCTTATCAGTCATCAAGCACTAGAGTTCTCAGTAGATGACAAGTTTTGCCAGTCATTAGAAACAGGTGACATTTGAGACTAACTGCATTGGGGTTCCCCGGGACCAGGGCTAGAAACCTGTATTCTAAATCCTGCCTCGCATTCGATGCTTCCAGAATAAGCTGTAGCCTGCCACGACCCTGATTTTGATCACTGCTCAGTTTCAAATGATGCTGGAAAAAAAAAGAGAAGAAAGCTTTTCTTGTTGTACACGAACATTAAAAATGAGTTAGAAAAAAGGTAATTCTGAATCTCTTTTTGTCTGGAAAAGCACAAAAAACTTTATTCTTTTGTCCATATTGTACACTCCAGCTCCTTTAAATGATCGGTAGGTTTTTTATAATCTGTGCCACATAAAAGAAATGACACGTTCTAACCCTCCATTGCATCACTTAGTCCTTTAAGAAGCCACTGTAATTTAACAGAATGATTCTGCAGTTTGTATTGACAACAGAATCAGTAAACTGGGAAATGAATACTTGAGCACAGACTGATCCTGACTATAAATAGGACCCAAGGCAAGGCAGTTCACTTTCCTTCAGGAACAAATGAGTGCAGCTGGAGAGAATTTCATTATACCACTTTTGTTACTGTTGTTTTTTTTTAAAAAAAAACATTTTACTGACACCCCTAAGGCCACACTGCCCTCTTGCTGAACTCCTGAGACTCTGTACAAGGTCTCATTCTTTAATATGATGTTTTATCAGACTCCTTCTGACTGGGAGCATTAAGAGACAGCCTAAACGTCATGGTTCAGATACAGTGTCTGGTCGTAAATGACAGCGAGAATCTGGATTAGCACAGAAAAGATTTGATCGCCAATGAAAAATAAAACAGCTGCTGGGAGACATCTCAATTAATACACTTTCTGGGGATTATGTTACAAGCACAATACAGATATCACTGAAACAGTCATAGGCTTACTGCCCTTTCTGAACTAACCAGGATTGGAAAGGGGATTATCTGACCTTTACTGAAGTATCCCAGAGACTTGGCTTTAATACAGCCCTGCAGTTCGATTAATCATTCTCTCCCCATCTTTGCAGTGAAGCACCTCTTCCTTAGGCTATGAACTGTGGCTCCAACAAAGATCTGAACAGTGGTTGTCGAAAGATGCTATTAGGTTACCGGAAGGGTAAAGGCAAAGAGCAGGGCCAGCCGGACACGCTTACTTCCCTTGAATCCTCACCTGAGCAGGTTATGTCCTGGAGCAACGGGCAGCCAGGAGAGGAAGCCAGAGGCTGTGACTTCCCTTACAGGTGGACAGAGTTGCGCGGTGGGTCATTTTTACCAGCGACCAATATGTTAGGAGTTTTTCTTAAACATCCATGTTTTGTCTCTCTGAAAAGACTCCATGCTTGCCTGTCACACGTAAAGGGTATGCTGTTTCAATTCCTGTCTTGCTGATCCAAGCATCAGCTTCCTGTTATTGAGTTTTTTACCTTCAGGGGTGGGAGTTGACTGGCAGGTGTGGTGCGGGCAATTCCAAACTGGAGCAAGAAAGCTCTGAAACTCCAAACTCCTCCTTTATAAGCTCTCTGAACACATTTGAGCAAACTGCTCCTGATATGAATAATATTCTCCTGCGAATTGGCTCCTCCTGGAAACTCACTTGTTCAGAGGTCACGTTAAGCCCTGTAGCTGAGAAATTCGTTAGTCATTAGTCAGCTGTGATTAGGATTCCCCAAGCAGTGGCACATATTTGGCTCAGCATTGCCAGTGCTGTGTGGCCCTGAGCTGACCTTTGAGATAGCAGAGTTCTTAGTACGATCCAAACAACATGCAGCCAGCAGTCTCTAGAATTAAAAGTGAGCTGATGAACAATTGATTGTTTCCAACTGGTGGGGTATGAAAAGAAAAACAACTTGAAATCGAATAAATTTATACTGACAGCAAAAAAGAAACTCCAGAAAGGTTTAATGTAATATGATAAATGAAATCTGTTCACATTAGAGAGTAAAAAATGTTTTGGCTGCATGCAACATCATAATCATCAAATGTATATTTTTGAAGACACAATATGCAAGTACAACAAAAACCGACTCAGCAATCCAGACAAACACAAGGAAACACATGTATTCCATCAACAGAAAACAGAATAAAATAAGAAAAAGGCTGAGTCAAATCAAGTTAATTCTAAAAACCATTAAGCCCTAACCCATTGCAAATTTTCCAACTAGAATAAGCAAAAAAACCTTCAAAATAATAATTGCTGCTCCAAATGTACTTCAATCGACACACTGAAACATAGATCTGGCAGAAGAACCTCACTACCTCAACATCAAATGAAGCTTCAACTGTTCTCAATGTCATTATTCACAGCCATTCCCTGTGAATAATAAGGAGTATTGTACAACATTATATCAGTCGATTGTTTCACATCGAGCCAGCATGGTGGCACAGTGCAGGGGCCCTGGGTTTGAGCTATCCGTGTGGAGTTTACAGTATATGCTCTCCACATGTTTGTGTGGGTTTCCTCCAGGTGCTCA